AAAGGTCAAACCCCAAATTCTTAAGATCCATGCCTTGGTACGCGTACTACTAGTAGTACAAAGTGGTCCCTTTGGCCTAAAATAAAGGTCTCCGCGCTCGTAGTAGTTAGAGGCGTCAGCGATTTTTAAGGATCTAATCGTCGACTCGTTTTGTCCAGATACTCTTACAGAAAAGTACAAATTTGGTTTTTTTGAAGAGCAAGTTTACGGTTTTTTAAGCTCACTCCATTCGTGAATTCCAGTTTCGATAACTTTTTAAGCTGCGGTGGCCGTATCTCAGCATAGGTTTGCACAGTGTTGTATTCCAAGGTGTACAAAGGTAATGGTTTGTTCTCAGAATCCCCATAACCCCAGATAAAATTATCTAAACGCGTAAATTTGCACGAACTCTTTGGCCACTAGGTTATTCCAAGAAATTACAAGTTAAAGAATTGTTTTGTCTGTGTGAGTGTTTTAGAGGAAGTGTCGGAGGAAATACTGGGCTTGATGCCGCACTGACCACTACATATGTAGAGGTAGACCTCCTGTGGTTTAGAAATTCCATTTATTTTATTAAAAGATAGAAAAGTGGAATATTTAAAGAAGTAGGACTAAATATTAATTTCTGACCTTCTGTAGACAAATCTATGTTAGTTATGAGCTCTGAATGGTTGAAAATACAAAAATGTACGGAGTTGCCACCAGCTTAAAACAATTTTGATTAATTAAATGAAATATTTCAATTTTTGTATAAAGTTAATTGATAAGATAAATTATATATTACAATTTCTATATGAAACGAAAGGTTTTTAAGAAATATTTGATTTAGAGACATTTTTCAAATGCATTAAATATACTTATTTCATACCTAACCTTCAACATTTTTTTGTTGCATTGAATTGTTTCAACCGTTTTGTTTTTTAACCGACTTCAAAAATGGAGGAGGTCATCAATTCGTCGGAATATTTTTTTTTTATCTATGTTATCGCATAAATGATTTTCATATTTCCATTTTATAAGACTAGCCCACAGTAAGGCGTGGCAGAGTAAGTTTATTATAAAACATATTTTAGAAATTTGGTTAACTATAACATATGTAAATAGTGCAAGGATAAAGAATTCATTTCGACAAAAAAAAAAAACATTACAAATTCTTTCGTTTTTTTTGCAGTAACATACGCTCTTATGGATATATAAAAACAAAAAATGAAAAGAATTAAAAAGCTACATAAAAGCCTTTTATAAGCTTCGAAAGTCTCCACTGGAGTTAAAACAATGCAAAAAATAACTAAAATGAAACTGAAAGCGACAGCTAAAGCAAAAGTACAAAGCTAAGGCCATGAATGCTTCTGCAGAATCCCAGTAATGCCAGCAGCAAAAGCACTGCGGCTTCTTCAGCCGTGCATGGCACACAGCTACACAACTAACTACATAAATACGACCGACACGTTAGGCAATGACTGTCGTCCATTTCCTTTCTAAACAGCAAATCCAGCAGATAATATGTGCCAGTGGGTGCATTTATGTATTTTCATTTATAATTTCAAGTATTTGTCATTTTGTGATATTCAAATGTGCATTCAATCGTAATAGAACTCGCCAACAGAGGAATACCTAAATACTTGTAGCATAAAATGCAGCAAATGAAATGTGCGATGGGCCATGTAAAACACAAAAATTGTATTTGCATTTTGTTAGTACTCGTAGTAGCGGCTAAAAAATGATAGGTTGGGAAGGGAAAGTGAAAAATCTTGCCGCAACACTACTGGAAATGATGTGTGACATTGGGGAGGAATGATGGCAGCGATATGCAAGCGGAATATGATTTGCGGTGATTTATGCTGACTCAGCTGCTTAGCTCGCTTCTATGGCGCTTCGTCGTATGTGTGTGCATTTGCAGCAACGGGCCAACCCATCGATGCTGGTTTGCGTTTTGGTGACATTTATCAAATCCTCTGTGGCCAACGAATAATCACGGATGGATTGTGAAATACAGGCGAAAAAAAAATAGAAAAATAATAGCATTATGCGAGATTAATACTGGCATTTGTGGCCGTTATGATGGATTTTAGTTGTAATGTTGTGGCTTTTGTTGTTGTAATCAATGTGAGTGATCAGCGTTGCGGGAAAAGCTATGTAGGTTGATAGGCAGCTGCTATTGCTTTTTTACTCGTACTATACGAATGTGTATGTTGGAAATATGATTATTGCTGGTTGTAGTCATGAATATTAAAAACAGCACACATACATACATATGTAAATGTGCAACAATGCCACTGCATATTGGTATGCTTTCTGAAAAGCGCAATTTCGAAGCAGATACCAAATTGGAATACATATATATGCAACACGAAATATTAGCTTATATATTTAATACTTTGCTGTTATATTCCTTTCTCTTACCTCAGACGAGTATGCACTCTCCCATGGCTTTTGCTATTTTGAAACTTACATGCATGGGCAAATGCATTTAATCGAATTTGTGCAATTCTTTATGATATTGCTGACCTGCGCGCATTTTTAGATCTGTGTATGCGTGTGTGCATATCAGCACCCTGTGGGGAATGCACTACTGCCGAACTGGTTACGTACTAAAGAATGTACACCCACGACTAATGCGCATTAATACTCTTTTGCATGCTAGCAACTGGCGAATTTAACATTGCGATGTCCTGCGAAGTGTCAATTGCCACCCGCTGCATCCCTCTTTCGATAGTTTCGAACCAGTTTTTAAAATCGACAAGCGAAAAAATTGACATGATTTTTTCAAACCAAGTCTTTTTGTTTAAATTATTGTAAACAAATGTGTTTTTAATTAGTTTTAAAAAGAAAAATAATATATGTAATTCTTAAAAGTACCACATTTCGCTGCGTTTGGGCATTTGGCGATGAAGATCTGTTATTACGTAACTAGAAATTTGGTTCACTATAGTTCGGGATTGCCCTGCAGGGAATGCATAAGGGAACGTTCTCGTGTAACACACATACATATGTACTAGGACCCGACCGAAGGTAGAACCGAACGTTCGGCTTTGATCTAACATTCGGCCGACTTTTAAACTAATTAAATTAATTTTCAAAGAATAAGCTCCATGTTGCCAATTTAGGAGTACATAAAATACAAAATACATAGAAACGTTTTTATCTCTTGTGTATGCATTAAAAAAAAATTAACACTTTCTTAAACTAATTGTAGCACAGTTCAGTTTCTGTGCAAAGTAATTGTTATGTAGCAAATAAATTTGTTTATATGAACTTTAATAATATTTTGGCGCTTACGCTTTTGTTAAGCCGAGCTTCTCCCCTAATTTTTGGTGTGCGTCTTAATGTTGTAAAACAAATGGAGGGACTTACAGTTCTACGCCGCTTCCGAACTTCTCTAACGAGTCATCCACAGCGACCGCCCCGATGTTTTTTTTAGTTTTTTTTTTAGTTTAGGTGTCACTTAAATTCACCAATTAATTTGCGTTCTCGCCAAGTGAGTTTGTCCTGTTACCACTGGTGGGTGGGGCAGAAAGATAATATTCAGCAACTGCTTTAAGTAACTCTAGGGATCTTTCCAATATTGAAAAATATCATCACCTCTGAAGCGAAGATTAAACGATTTGTACATTTGTACATTTGTACATTTAGGCAGTCACAGAGTGGTATTATTTAGAAATTTGAGTTCAGCTCAATAAATGAATTTCCGCATCTGCACAAATGTACTAGTCCAGATAACCAAAAAGATCTGGCTTCGGCAAAAGCTTCGGTAGTTTTTTTTTTGCGAAGGCGAGCATTCAGCCGAATATTAAAATATTTCCGAATAGTCGGCAAACCGAAGCCGAAGCCGAACAATCGATAGGACTCTAATATGTACATACATGCATACATATACACCATAATGCTTTTAAAACAATCAACAAAATGCAGCCTCAACATTTTCAATGTTGTTTCTTCCATTTCATTTCATCTGCTGAGGCATGTAAAATGCCGAGGGGAAAGTCAGTTGTAGCAATTGCTATAAACAGTTTTAATAATTTGCTGCAATCATCGACTAAATAAATGTGCATTTTTGTTGCTCTAAATAGGTTTCAGTATTGGGTTTGACCCATGGGTGAGCAGCTTTACCATTTTCCAGGAAAATTGGGTGTAACTAATGGTGATTTCGTTTCTTCTTTAAAAAAATGTTGCCCTTGCGCGGAGCAAAATGTGTTTGATGTCATATAAAAGTTTGTCGTTGGCAGCATTTTGATGATTTTTAGTTATGAATTATTATGGAGTTATATTAGACTACAATTGAATCCATTTTTGGACATCTCCTTTATTTTCTGAGATATTGAGTAAAAAGTATCATTAATTTAGTACAAATATTCATCACATTTTGTCGTCTGACGTACGAGGTGGCTGCAAAATTTTTGACAAACGTGGCATACAACAAAATTTTGCTTAAGAAAATCCTGAATAAAGTCAATAATAATAACAAGAAACAATAAAAATCAAATGGTTTAAGAATTTCTTGAACTATTAATTTCTCCGTGACTTAAAAGATGATCAATCGTCGCGTTTTTGAGGTATTGAATTCTTAATTTTAATTGCGATTTCCGAAAACGTGCCGCAAGTAATAAATACACGACAATATTGTATACAGGCGATGTTATGTATGTATTTTCATTGGCATAACATAGTCACATTCCAACAATGCCACTACCAATATAACCCACACTTCTTCTACTACTTCCCGTCTCACATATCTCCTCCTTTTCTATGCTTTTCTATTAAATTGTCTGATCTTTCAAACTAAACACCGTCATTTTCGTTATTATGTACTTATTTCATTCTTGCATTATAGTAATTTATTATTGATTTTGCTTTACGTCTAGTAGTTTGCTAACCCATTTTCGTTAACACAGTTTTAAGCATGGTACTCCTGAATCAATTAATAAAGACAGCTTCGAGAGGAAAGGACTTGTTCATGTATATATTCATTTACTTACCATAATACATAGTTTATTAAATTAGGGATTTTAATTAGTTATATTTTTCTGTTTCGGTGTTTCGCTTTATTTTTTTCTTTAATCCAATCAGTCAATCAATATTCATTATACTTATATGTATGTATATTAAAATTTTTTCTTGACCTTTTGTTTTTATTTGTTTCTGTGCCCGCACTCACGCAGTGTTGCACCAGTGTTTTTGCTTCTTTGAACAGAGACTATAAAGGTGTCTGTATATAACTACACGCACAATGCGGCAGGCTTCAGAAACCCCCTGCGAAAGAGATAATAGAAATTTTAAATCACCAAAATGCACAGAAAGACTTTTGGTACCTCACTGAAGCTTACTCGTAAAATTCGTTGCGATAAACCTGCAAGTGCGCTGAATGCTGCAACCGCTTGAGTGCTGTCCGGAAACTTATATTTTCGTTGAAATATAAACAGAAGAACTCCTGTTACGTTGCTCCTTGGACGAATCGACAAAGCTGTTACTAAGCTTTCAAAAAGAGGTGTCTTCCTTGACCTATGCTTTCGAGGGTAATACCGTTGGAAAGTTGGAAAAAGAAGTCATACTCAGAAAATGCCTTTTGAACATGTGTTCATATTATCATGATCGGATAAGAAGCTGCTTCGCTATGTATGTATATCAGCTACTCGACAAGTTCAAAGCCTGGAAAAAGAAAAGTTAATCAAAATTTTACATGCGAGTGGTGATGTGAGCAACAAAAGCCTACCCATAAATGTAGGTGGGATACTGTTGAGAAGACCTTTCTGCATGCGGACCGGCTGGGCCTTTTTATTCTTCCCACAGTCCATCTACATGGCGCATACTATCGCTTCCATCTGCAAAGGAAACAAAATTATAACATGGATAGGAACCAAAAAGTTTCTTCTGACTGAGATTCGATTTTTACGTAGACATGATAATTAAGAAAAAAGATGAATTCAATCGCCTGCTTTGGCTGGACAAACAAAAGCAAGAGCACCACTGAACACAATGGCAATGCCAAGTTCAATATCTCTCTGCACCTGGTATGAATATTTAGCGAAACTTGATAAACTGAAAATACCCAAACTGAAGCCGTAATTGTAGAACCAAGTGACAAGACTACTTGAACGTTTTTTCAATTAGTCGCTATAACACTTTTTCCTGTTTTAATTTGTTAAGGTAGGTAGGAAGGTACGAGGACTCTGTGACTAAGTGAATTACCTTACTCGGCTAGAGACTTAACTAAAACGCTCATCTCCCAAAAACTCTGGATACATCCACATAGGCCTTGTAGACCTGAGATCAGTTTATGGTTTCAAGGTTTTGTAGTAAATGATGAGTCTTTTCTAATAGCATTTCTAGACTAAGTATCCTATGGAAGAGGCCTGAGTGATGAAAATCAGAACTTGGAAAATATTTACTGTTTAATTATATCCGGTAGTTATCACTACACTTTTCTTTTTTTTTTTGTGCATCTATTTAAATTGTAAATCGCTCGTTGTAAGGGCACACTTGTGTTGCTGTGCAGACTACCAATAACATTTTGTCTTTCACACTATGTGGTGCTTAGCTCGACAAACCAAAGTAGCAAGTCACCCCTGTTCGGGTGGCCGAGAAGTAGGCAGCACATTTTAGACAATACTGTTTGGCCTGTTGCCTGTTGTGATGTGGATCTGTTAAATTACCAAATGGCATGCGGAAAGTGGGAATTTGCACCCCATAAAAAAAATATTTTCGTTTCTGGCAGCACATACACGTTCTTGCTGTATTTGTTGTTGTGTTTTTGGTTAGATTTTGAGTACATATTTATTGTTCCTTGCTATATTTTTACTTTGTAGCATATTTTCCTTTTAAATGTGGTTTACTCACTTTGTTTTGGCTTTTTATGTGCTTTGTTTGTATTTGTTTTAAGGATTTAAGTACATAAGTACATTTTTTGTTGGGGCTCAATGTGAGCATTGTGTTTAATGGCAAACATGCAACAATATATGTATGTATACTTCTTTTTTATTTGTAGGTATTGCATTTATTTCCTAGTTGTTATTGTTGTTGTTTAGTTGTGACTGTTTATAGTTGTTTATACCATTCTATAATTACTACTAAATACATACTTTTTAGTGTTGGCGTATCGGTGAGTGGGGGCGTATGGGCAATATTTGCATGGGCTATATATCGCATACGTTCTTCAAAAGGGGCGTAACTCAAAATTTAGGTAGATTTTTATCCAATTAACGAAACAATTTTTTCCTTCATGATTAAATTCTCTAAATAGACAATTACTTTTATATCTGTTTATTTATTAATTGCGTTGAATCTGTACAATCCAAAGCAATTATATGTATTTTCGTTTCTGAATTTTGAGTTGTGCTTCTTTTGAAGATGGAGTGCGATATGTACATACAGTGACCATATTTTAGAAATAGAAATAGAGTACGAGTTTTCATTATGTATGTATATTGTCGTCACCGCAGAAGAATCTGCTAACTCCACTTTTCAGTCAAAATAACTTTTTGATACTGATGGAAAGGGGAAAAATCTCTGCATACTGGTAAAAGCAAACATTATTTTATTAGTTAAAAGCGCTAAAAATACTTAAAAGTAAATTCTGTCAATGAAACCTTTCTTCTGATAAAGGTGGTAATTATTGCAAAGTCAAAGCTGCGAAACATATTTTTTAAGTTGCTCTCGAATACTTCAAGAAAAAGTACATCAGTTTCGGCTGCTTCAAAATATAATTGTAAAAACTTTTATTTTTCATTTATGGGCGGCATTTTGAAGAAATTTGACATTCGCCAAGCTGGCCGTCCGTAGTTGCGGTAGGTCATACAGTTTTGTTCGCAGCATTGCCATTTCGTCAAAAGTGCCACTTTGAGACAAATATGTTTACAGCGTGTGTAGGAAGTTAGGTAGGAATTTTGGTGTTTGAAAGAGCATTTCCCGGTTCCTTTTGTTGGTTCGTTTTATGTGCTGTTGGGATGTATATTTTATTGGCTGTTATTGTGTTGTACTACTGTTTTATTGTGCCACACACTTTCTCGTCAGTGTTGGATAAACACAATTCTCTGCGTTGAACCTAAATGCACTGCGTCAAACCGGCAGCGTGTCATAGGATCACTGTCATCATCCGCCATCAGCAGTCAGGCTACGGCTTCATGCGTGTGTGGTATGCACACTTACTATGTTCATGCGTACCTACTAAATATGTATGTATGTATACAACAATATTTTTTATAGTTATTATATTGTTTTATTGTAGGCTGTTATATTTATATTGGCATTTAAACCCACAAAGATATCAATCATAATTTGGGAAATTTGTTGGTTGTGCGGAACCTATTTTTAGTACTTTCAGCAGTGTTCGAAAATTTTATGCGTCGATTAGATTGGAAGCAGGTGGGCGGAGAAGAAGAGGGTTTATGATTAATGTGAAAAAGACTTGGCGAATTGCAAAGTATATTGCGGCAGGTTTTCAGGTATGTTCTTTTAGAGAAGAAAAATTTGCTTAATTTTTTTTTCATGGAAGAAAAGAAATTTATAGGACTTTTTGGTATGTTTTCGCTTTTTTATGAAGATTGTAAAGTGCGAAGTGCGATTTGCAAAGTGCGGAGCGTATTAGCAAATTCACACCGTCCCGCGCGCAAGATGTTACCAAAGGTATACGACAATGTCATTTGCTGTTGTGTGTGTGCACCTGCTGTTGCTTCGCTTTTCACTTAGCCTCGTTTGCGCGTTGGTGTGTATGTGTGGCGAATTCGCACCCCATTGCATTTGCTATGTAAATTTTTTATGTCGCCTAAGATGTACTTTGAACTTAGAAAGAAAACAAAATACTTTGTAGACAGTTATTTTGCGTTCAGCTTTTATGTTTTCTCGCTTTTGTTATTCTTTCATGCATTAGTGTGAAAGGTATTCGTGCGCTCTTGACGGCGTTGCGAGTTTCTAAGAGCAAAAATATATGCATCTAACCATAAATAAAGCAGAAGTCTATTGTTGAGGAGAAGTTTCGCTTGTACGTATTTTATAAGTTTTTAAATTTGCTTTTTCTGCTTGTTTTTGATATTTTTACAAGATGCATTGGCAATGCGATTTTGATGCTACAACATATTTTTTTTTGTTTATATTTAAATGGTAGAAAAATTTCTTAAAATAAGGAGATCTTAACGATTGTAAAGATTGTAGAACTTTTTGTGTGACATAGATGTTGTCAAACGCACGCAATGATTTTTAATGAATATACATTTTTGGGATTTTAGTAAACTAGGACTGAGTATTTCCTGTTAAAATAAAACGGTGTTAACTTAAATTAAATTTTAGCAATTTATTAATTTCATTAGACCCGCAAACGCGTTATCAGCGATGATCCGATAAAGTTTGTAGCTCAGTTTATTTGCCATTCCACTTGGACTTTAAGCAATACAACTTTAGCTGTAGGAAAGTGCTGGTTTTGATGAAATTTCCTTTTTTGAGGCTTATTAGGAATTTTATTTCTCGACCGAGCCACATTTTTGTATTTTCGCTTTTGAAAAGAGAAAGCTTGATTTATTACCCTATTTTTGTAAATAGAGCAAGAAATGTTGAACTCATAACGGAATTTTGTTGACCCAACTTGACTTTTTTATCGATCTTTGCCACGCCCATAATAAAAAAAATAATAATAATTTTTGAGTCCATTTCTTTCAATTTATAATTCCTTGCAATAAGGAAATTCTAAATATCAATTTTGGTATTTTAGCGTTTGTAGTTAATTAAATATTTCAGCCTATGCCTTTTTAAAAATTATTGTTACGTAAATATATAATAGGTTTTTGTAAACAGCTTCACCTATCTTATACCGCACCTTATGGAGAATTTCATTAATACATGTATCTTCAATAGTTTTCTCGAATTACAGAATTAAAAGCAGCTAGATGGCCTAAACCTTACACTATGCGCCAGCTGCATACTTCAATCAAAAGTATTTAAATATTTGTGGTTTTGCTTCGAATTTAGCCGTTGGTGTTGTGTTGGTCAAGATTACAGCTTTCGCTGTATTTACGCGCGCTCGCATGTGTGACTGTGTGCGTGGGGCTTTGAGCTTCTATTTGGGTTAAGCACAAGCTGTTGGATTTCTTTTAAAGCGCACCCTTTGCTGCTACTGTTTTGAATTACTTTGCCAGTTTCGCGGTTTGTGGGGCTGTCAGCGATTGTTATGCACTATTTTTTTTTTTTGTTGCTGCTGTGCGAACTACGTTGCTGTTGTTAACATTGATTACAAGTTATGGCATTTTATGGCGTTGCCATTCGTTGACGACGCATCGTCAAAAGCTCGTAATAGATTCTTTCTTTTTCGCTCTACTATTTTTTAGTAACGCTGTTTATTGTGTGATTTCGGCCTGCTCTCTCTGCTTTCGTTTCATTTTCACTTTCGCATTCAGCTTGAGGCTCTTAAATTGAATTCAATGCTACATTTATCATAAATTTGTGACAACTTTGCTTGTGATGCCGGCAGTTTAATTTGCCCTAAGACCCTGCTGCGTGGATGGGACAGACTGTTTGGCTTGCTACGCAACGCGGTCGGCACGAATGCTTCCCTTAACATTCGGGATTTTCATGTCACGTAGGCAACAGCAGAATTTTCACTCTTTTTCGAGAAAGTAGTCAATTTTAGATTTTTCTTTTAATAAATTCAGACGACGTGCTTCGTTGCTCGTGTGCAAATGCGAAATTGATTGTGATGCAAAAATTTCTCTTTGTGCGACTTGCTTTTGCCGCTTGGACTAAAAACAGCTTTGGTTCTTAGTAAGTTTCTTACATCATTAATTTGAGATAAAAATGAAAATTCTCCAAACCTTTGCTAAGAAACCAACTTGATG